AAGGCAGTGATTACTTAACCCAGCAGCAGAGGGATGGGGGGCAGTCCCTCTTGGGGCTGAGGAGTACACGTGTAGGCAACCGGGAGAAAGACCGGCAGCTTCTCCACAGCATGGTTGATAAAAATCTGATTATAAACAGAAGAGAAACACAGGAAGGTGTCATGTCTTGCTCGCAAGGAGAAGTACATATTTCTCATTTTTCCTATATAACATATTCCTAGTCTTTTAGTGTCACAACAGAAAGCATTTGTGCGTTCTCCCAAAATAGGTGGTGCTTGAAGCTCGGTGATGTAGACTAAGCGCAGGTTTTGTGACACAACTAAAGCTACCTACATTTTGAACTCTTAGGTTCTCTTTGTTACATCAAAGGTTAGCACTCTCTAAATGGTTTGCAATTGGTCCATCAAAGTTGAACTCCAACTGAAAACATTACACAATCTTCTTGCCTCCACAAGCAAATTCACTGGTTGTGGCAATTCTATCTAAACTGGTTGATTCCAGTGTGAAATTTTGCTGTTCAGCTTAATTTATACGTTATACTGTTTTTCAGCTCATTTTTTGGTCTGCAGAAACTCCTGAAGGAAATATTCAGCTATTTAGCTACTAAGTGCCCCACTGTATACACCTTCTTCTAGTTGCTAACTTTGTCTGTCTGCTGTTCACTGCTGAGCAGCTAGCTGGGTTTTTATAGGTTTGCTGAAAACAGCCGCCTGCTGCACCACTATGAGAGCAGTGAGAGGGAACCAAAACATTAAAGAGGTGGTATTATGCTAATTTTCAGGTTCAAAATCTTAATTAGGGGTTGTACCAGAACGGGTTTATATGGTTTAATTTTCAAAAAACACCATATTTTTCTCATACTGCACATTGGTGCAGCTCCTCTTTTCACCGTGTGTTGTACGCTCCGCTCTTGAGCTACAGAGTGATGCATCTTACTTGTACAAAATCTTTGTTGGGAGTTGCACATGCGCAGTTCTCAGGTAAGAACTACTAGCCAATCAGAAGCAGAGAAGGGCGGGTCGTAAGAAACAAGGTAGTGTGATCCAAATCAAAGCCACTTCAGACTGAGACCATAACCTAGCAGATGGTATAAGTTAGTCACAAGTCCACAACCACACAACATCATTGTTCCACATCTTACCATTGGGACTAAACATTGAACTGTTGCCGGTGTTCTGACGATCTATGCTGCCTTGCCGAAAAATTCTACCATAGCGCAAATCGATAGACTCGACTCTACTCGGCCCTGCTCCGTTTTCCATTGCATTACAGTACCCAGAGATAGTACGTAGCTTGTCGTCATAGCGACGCCACACACAACTGCCGCGACGTAATGTTCAATGCGACACACCAGCTCTTAAAATATATCTACATTTAAAACGTTTCAACATTACTCAGAATGTAAAGACAGATAAGCGGTATGAAAACCTTCCAGCTGTGTTTTCCTCTGCCATTGTTGCTGCAGCGGTGTGTGTGACGGCGGGAGCAGCGGCCTCACACGCTCCTCCTGCGGGTTGGCACAGGCATCCCCCGCAGCCACTTGCGGAGCTCCTCAACTCCGTTGTTACACAGATATACACAGCTGATTTCTCACCTCAAAACTTCTCAGAAGTGGATTTAGTGATGAAATTCCATACGAAAACTGTAAAACTTTCTGTTGCTGGCCTCTGTCTGGTGCACGCAATGATGATGCAGTGAATAGTGAATATTCTCTCTGACCAATCAGCAGTCTGTCCTGTTTTCATGATACATTTTAGTATCCCTCAGCTCGCTTGGAACCTCGATGGAGGTGAGTTGATACGAAAAAAAGTACCTGGAAGCAGGTACAGGTACAACATTTCTACAATGGAAAACCAAACAAAGGCGAGTCGAGCCAAAGGGCCTCCGCTCAGACTAACTTGGTTTGAGGGCGTGCCTGACCCCGCTGGCTGCTTGGCAAGCTTTATGACGCGTTTTCATTGTGACGTCACAAGTAAAGGAAGTGAAAGGCTGGACTACAAATGTTTTCAAGCGGTTCAGAGCAGAGCTTTCTGTGGGAGATGGGAATTCCCTTTGGGCTGGACTTTGGGCTTTTTCACTTTGCAAACCTGTTACATGCACAAAAAAGATATATAACTCAATAAAGGAGAGGGAAGAAGCAAAAAAGCAGAATACCTCCTCTTTAAAGTTGCAAAAGTATACCGTTTCCCACTGTCAGCTAGACTTTTCGTATACACAGGACATCTTCTATTATCTTGGCAGAAACTTTTAATTGAAAATGGCTTAATGCTTGTACATTAGTTTGCATGGTGAGAATTCTTAGAGATTATGGGAGAGGGTTACATCTTGTAAAAACTTTGCTACAGCTCAGTAGGTTATACGTTCAGACAGTCAGCCAGTAGGTCAGATCAGCTGATTTGCTGTGTAACTGTCCTGCTGGTGTGATTAAAGGGGCTGTGACAAAGACGCTGAAAGGCAATCAAGGGGGGCAATGGCCAGCTGTCACACTGGGGGACCATAATGGCCACGGCAAATCCCACCACCGTCTGAGCCTGTTTCTTCTTTGACTTCAGCCTCCTGCTAACTGACTAGTCATCTCTTTGTTAACCTGCCACAGAGCTGGTTGACAAGATGAGTTAGATAAGTCGTTGTCCTCACAATCAAAGGTTTAGTCATGATTGATTCATTGTATGAATAATTCACTGAATACTAAACATAAATAACACTGATTGATGGAGTTACATGTTGAAATACGCAAAGATCAGGCCGAGATACATAAATATTCAAAAACAATGATAAATTAAATAAGATATGTGCCTTTACTGAAGACTTTTGATAGTTAGCTAATGCATGCACAGAAGTAATTTAAAAGTTACACATTCTGTACACTGTCTATTCATACAGCCACAATGTAACTCAAAACATCTAGGCGACCCATATAAAAAAGTCCATTATTTCTCTGTCCGCAACCGCTGATTCTTTTCTGCATGCTTCCCAGTACCTTAACTCCCCACACTTCTACAAACTTTTGTTGCATTAAACATAGTATGTGTTTTCAGCATGTTTTCTGTTTGGTGTAAGTTGTATTCATTTTACTGCTTTTTATCCCATGTCCTAGAGGTAGTGAACTCAGGCCTTTTGCTTTCTTGCACAAAATTGTTCAAACCCAAGCAGAGCCAAACTGGCCAATTAAAATGGCTGTTATTGATGCAATAAATTATTACAACCTTTACGAAGTGTCCTGATTGACATGGAGTATTCATTCCTCAGATATGTCTGACAGAGAATAAGCGGCCATTATAGTGTATTCGGGATATCACAGTAACATTGTCTTCTTCACTTCACTGTCTTGTGTTCCTACATTTACTGTGTGCACCTGCTGGAGACTATGTGGGTGGTTGATATGCAGAACTACAGAGTCTCCCCTTTTCATTAAGACAGGAGGCACAAGCAACCTTATTAGAAAGTTGCCAGTGACACGAGGTCACTGAGTTTACTTAAGTTTCTGTCTCTCTTTTTCCTACTTTAATTATCTAACATTTTTTCTATCTTCCTAAAGAAAATCTCATACTTTGATACCCACATTTCATCTGTGGTGTGATGCTTTCAGTACACTGCACAAGCAAGTCGATTCATTTATTTAAAGATGTCAATGCAGGGATAGGCTACTCAAAACACGTACCTTATTTGGACACACAGTGCATTCACTATGATAACTGTATTGTTATTTTAATGACTGATAATAAAGTAACATTGTCAGCCTCTGTAAGTGTCAAAAAATTAAATATGAAAAGTAAGCATTTGTGTGAATGAAAAATTCCTTTAAAAAGTCAAATATACTACTGTCTTGTTGAATCATTTATTGCTAATCCAATCAAATTTGAGGATGTAGATTGTAACTGTGCTTAAATAATCGCTCAAGAATAGATTATGGTAAAAAACAAACAAACATTTAAACAGTAATCTGATTATGCATTGTTGCAAATGATGTATATTTTTTTGCTCCTGACACTCACACAGCAAGTAGTGACTCTTGGCTTCTGCCTCCCCAAACTGTAGCACCCCCTGATCCTCTGCTCCACATCAGAACAATTAGTGGCCCTTGGCCCCTTGCTTTACACAAAAAGGGGGAAACCTGTGTTCCCTACACACACAGGCGGTAGCTGATGCTGCCTTGGCTCTTCCATAGCAGGAGCTGTAGGTAATGACTCCTGCCTGCCACGGTGGACCTTAATTTGTTATTGTAGCAGAGCAGCTGTGCAGCATGCTGCAGAGAGCAGGTGGCAGCCTGGCAGGAGTGGAGGATGGGGGGCTGGGCTGGAGGGGGAGGACAGGAGCCTGTGGCATATGTGGGCGGCTGTGGGGGGTGGGGGTGAAAAGATGATTGTGTGTGTATGTAATGGGGGAGCTATAGCTCATGACCTTCTAAGCCAGCATCCAAATATTATGCTTGTATAGAAGAAATAACACGTGAGACTCTGGATGGATTCCAGATCAGCCTGACTGTGTAGGCTCTTGTGTGTGGAGAGTTCTGGCTAGTATTACCAAGCTCAACAGATGACACCGATTATTCAACTTTTGCTTTTTGCATGGTCATATTGTTCAAATTGCAAGACTAATTCATCCCTTAGGCCTGCATATTATCAAATACAATCCATCATTTTTAGTTTCACCAGGCTCTCCCTATACCCTTGCTTGTTTCAATGACAATTTGTGGAGGCATCCCAGGCTATAGGTTCAGGCTATGAAAAAAAACAACAAAATCAATACACCAACAAGTAGAGGTCATAAACGACTTTGCTCAAGGCAAGGGATGTGTGTCTCCTGTGAGGATTATGCGAGCTGAGCTCTGGTGTCCCCTTGTTGCTTCTCGGAGTTAATCATTGCTGAGACACCGTTTCCCTGCTGTAACCGACCGCGCTTTCTGGTAAAATGCTCACAATTAGTACCGCCCACACAAAATATCCTGTGTTGCGTGTAGAGAATAGATACGTGTTTCTCGGTGGTAAAGCGATCGTCTCCTGCAGATTTCGTTTCATTCTATTTAATTCAGAAATGTTTTTAAAAGTATTTTAATCCCATAGGAACCCCGCTGAAGAGGACCTGAAGGAGTTTAAAAGACTGATCCTATCAGTCATCATTCTGCCAAGGAGAAGAAAACTCAAAACTCCGAGCAGCATGGTCGGAATGCCGAGTGCTTTAAACTGTAAGTAGACTCTAAGTGTTGCTTAACATGCTAAGCAAAATCAGGCATCACCGTTGAGTTACTTTTACCTGACAGCATTTATCCACAGGTGTGTTCATTTGCACCTGCACGTCATGATACACTATGCTGAGTCATAACAAATGTCCCGTGATATGTCCTTGATCTCGTTTTTGTGTTTTACTTAATTAAGGACCAGAATCTCATCTGAAGGGCTGCCCCTGCCTCCTAATGAAAATATAGCAGAGTTTTTATCTAGGCTCCATAATAAGGACAGATAAAACACTTCTCCACTCTTATTATCTTCTGATTCTTCCCCCCCGAGCAGTCTAGTCATAAGAGAAGATCTTTGAATGTGTTACTTCAGATCCCATCAAATCATTATAATGACCGAACAAAAACTCCATCATCCCTTTGTCTGCTGAGATCGTATGGTCATTAGGATCCATTAAAGAGTGAGAATAAACTATGCATAACATACTCTACTCTATTGGATGCATTATCCCTTATATCGCCCCCACAAGACAGCTATTATGCTCCCATTTGATTGAATAGCAGCTTTCGAGTCTATGTGTCTTTTCAGTCGAGGATTTGGAACCCTTAATCCACCAGCCAACGATTTTTTCTCCCTCTCTCTCTTTCTCTTTCCACCATCTGGAGTTTACAGCTTTTTAAGACAAAAACACCAGGCTGGAGCTGCTGCTTGATGCCAGAAGGAGTTTTTTTTCCCTTTTTGTCTGCGGTTTCTGCCTGCTTTACATCAGGGGTCAGTAGTACAGTTCTGCGATGCAAGTGGGGTCAGCAGGGCCCCAGGGCATGACTGTAGACCCCCATGTGTCTCCCCCCAGGACTCCGATTGGTCCCCTTTTCACCACAGTGAAACAAATAACTGCATAATACTGACCTTGATATTGTAGTGATGATGTTAATGATGATGGCGTTACAGTGGCCACCAGGGAGCAGCAGAGTGTATAGTGTAATATAAAACCATAAACATGGTTTGAAAGCAATTCCTGCTGTTTGGAAAAAAATTGGTTCCAGCTATAACCCCCAAAAGATAACAACAATATGTGTATTCTTCTGTTTTAAAATTGTTGTCAGAGATGGGCAGTATACTCCTATTTGAAATACGTATTTCAATTACTTTTATGTATTTTTATCATTGGTGTTTGACAGAGCTGAAAAATTTAAATGTATATTTGTAATAAGATACTTTAGAGTGGAGTCATTTTATACTTTCAAAATACTTTCTACGTGATACAAAAACATAAAATACAAGACTAGGTCAAAACCTGGCTGATCAAGCTCCTTTTTGCTGGACGTAAGACAACCCTCCCCTCTTCAGCTCCGTTTGAGGGACTGTTCTCATCTGCAGGAATAATATTCCATCCAAACAGGAGCCAACTAACGCCAGAAATATTTGAAAAGTTAGTTGTTAACCAAATTGGCTGCTTCCAGTAGTTTTGTTGTTGTTGCTTTTACAATTTTGCTTGTTACAGTAGCATTCAACTCCATTTTCTTCCCTCCCTCCGGTAGGATTCAAACTCTCACCAGAGCGTTGTGTACATTATAGAAATCAGAATGGTCTGCAGTTTTGGACAAATTCAGAATGCCTAATGTCCCACATGTGTTTTCCTGTATTTTATCTTGATACATTTTCTGGCACCAATATTTTGTTATATTTTGATATATTTATTTGAGGGACATTTTGCTGTGTCTTTGCCCATCTCTGATTGTTGTTAAGTTGGAGTAATTTAATGTTGTGTGGAAAGCTAAATAGCCCTCTGGGAAGCAGGGATGCTGTGTGTACACTGGGAGAAAATGTGTTAAAGAGCATGTAGGCTCAACATTGCTCACACTAGTCAATCATTTCCATTCTCCCTTGATTCAATTAGCTCTACGAGAAAACATGTGGATAATTTGGAACCCCCGATAATTTTCCCTTTTGCCTTCTTTTCTTTGGGGTGGGTTACAGAGTCAGATTCCAATCCTCTGACATTAAAAGGGGAAATAAACGACAAAGGGGCCCTGCAGGTTTGCATTAGAGACCTAATTGGTTTTGGCTTGAGTGGGCTGTTAGCGTTGCCAGACGTGGGCCCTTTGTATTTTGCCATGTGGGAGAATTTGCCTGTGCTGGAGGTAGAGTGAGGTGCCTGCAGATCTTCTCTGAGTCACCCATGCACCATTTCTTGTCTTTGTGGGCTGTTGCTATGTGTGTGCGTGTGAATGTGTTTATATGCACAATAAGTGTAGTTCCAGGTACGTATATACAAAAATGTGTGCAAATGTGTGTCGAATTGCATGTTTTTGTCTGTGCACTGCTTACGCTTGTTTCTGTGTGTTGCTATGTGTCATGGATGTGGTTGGCTGTGTTTTTGTAATATGCGTGTGCTTGGGTATGTGTTTGTGTGTTTCAGGCTTTGGGCCCAGTATCCTTCTCACTCCCTCTGGTCTTTGCGTGGGTCTTTTCCAACAGCACTACCACCTGTTAGTGTTTTACTCGGGCCCCAGGGCTACAATGACTGCAGAACCTTCCAGATTTGCTCATCAAGCCCATCAGATTGGCTCCCTTACCTCAAATCTGGCTCCCATTTCCTATCGGAGGACCAATCTGAGCTTGATTCCCTGGTGCAGTTTAGCTGAGTCAAGATGGTGTGCAGTTGAACTAGTTTGAGCTGAGTTTGATTAATGACTCATGAGCGACAACATTTTATTCAGTATGCTGCAATGCTGGATCACAGTTAAGTGTGGTTTTAGTGTGAAAAGATGTTTAAAGACTGAATTTATGGGGTCACAGTGCCCCCACGTCTGTGAACCACAACAAAGAATCTGGCATCTTCTGTTTGAGCAATAATATGAGATCAAATGACAATTTAAAATTGCATGTGTCACATATCTACTGTTAAGGATCACTTGCTGTGAAACTTGGAGTCTAAGATTTAAATGAACCCTAATTGTAATGAAGCGTTTACTACCCAATGACAGAAAACAAAAATATATCATCTCTGCATCTTATTATCAAGTTCGCTTGTGTTAAATCCCAAACCACTGCAAACAGGATCATCTGTCTTTTCAAACAGATAGGATTTGTCATGTTCCGTGTTTCGTGAGACCTCTGAGCTTTCTGTCCCATTGTCTGTTACTAATTCAGCACACTATGTTCGCCTGTCTATTACTTCAGACAGTGTGGCAACCTGGAGCAAAGCTTGGAGGGGAAAAAAAGAGAAATAGACAAGTGACCAAACAGTGAGAGAAGGAGAGTAGAAAGGGATTAACTGTCAGGGAGAATGTGAGGCTAATTGAAGCCAGTTTTGCACAGCTGTTTCTTGTTGCTGTGCGGCACTGCACGGAGCGGCTGGGAGGATAGGATCCAGATGTGATCTTGCGCCGAGGATCACCCACCAATAACAATCCTCAGAAATACCAGCCGTACAGGAGACGAGGGCTATTAGAGTGTCTGTGCTCGCCCACCTCCTGACAAAACATCACTTCTCCGGCTCCAAAAGATAAGCAAGCCCTCTGCTTTTTACTCTTGATTGCAGCTCTCAGCTCGGCTCCTGAGCGTTGTTAACACTGTCATCTTGTTATACTGCCAGCCACTGCCATGACCTCTGTATTCAGGTGTCACTAGGTAGCGTAAACATCGCTTTGACACATTTGACTATTCCAAAAAGACGGCTCGCAGGGTGTGAAAGCGGTTTTGCATATTTATCATGTGGCTTTTCGAAACGTTCAACCAAAAGGGATTAAAGCTTCTTTTGTACGCTCTTCTGTGTTTCATTTAAATCATCATGGAGAAGAAAAAAAAAACATTTATCCTTTATCAGGATGGCGGCATGCATGTCCCAGGATTGTGCGCAAGCATTTATTCGGTCCTCTACTTTAAGTGGAGGGACATTGGCTGGAAACAAAAGGGCCCAGTCACTTCAGAGTAAATTGGAGTGGTCAGGCAAAAAAAAGCATGTGAAAGGAACTTATCACCACATTATGCTTTTTTAATGCCCCGTCTCTCTCTTTTCCCACTCCTCATGCCTTTCACTCCCACTTCCATCATTTCCCACTTGACTCAGACAAAGAGGAGTTAGCATTCGTTCCCCCTTTTCTCCACACCTTCCAGAGTTACCCCAGTACTTCTTTCTCACCTCCTGTTCCTGTCTGACGTTCGGCCTCCCTCCATCCATCCATCTTTGTTTCTTCTTCTTCCCTCTTTCTGCCCCCATTCCTTTTCCATCTCGATTTATCCGTCTTTATTCCTCTCTTCATCCCCACTCGTCTTGGCCACCATGCACCATGTCATCGCTCAGAGGAAGACTCAAATCTCAGTTCATGGTTTGACAAGATATTGGCAGTATTCACTTTTTAAACCCGTATTTTTTTTCCTCTCCCCATTTGCTGTTTCCCCTACTTTTTCTAGAATGTGTCAAAAGATGTCTATACCTCAGTCTGTTGAGGGAATTGATGTTCTATTGAATTATCAGATGAAACACATGTAATGCTTATGTAAAGCATATGCGACAAGCATATCCAGCAAAGTCGCTGACCCAGATAATGACTGCTTCACATCCTGACAGATAACGCTGAAGATGATGTGTGGCCTTGGCCTAGTCTCACTTTATCACGCACGCACGCACGCGCACACACACACACACACACACACACACACACACACACACACACACACACACACACACACACACACACACACACACACACACACACACACACACACACACAGTGAATGTAACAGCCTAAGCCAATATCACTCCCAAGCTCCTCTCCCCACGTGTCACTTGTGAGTTTTATGACTTTTGTCAAGTTCACCTCATCTGTCCCTTCTCTGATTTCACTCCTGCTGGGCCTTGTGCTGTCAGAGAACAGGACCCGCTTGCTTGCTGCACACATAAACTTTATAAACTTGCACTCCGTTTGCTCTTGCTCCCAGGCTGGAATGTGTTCTGGGTGCTGTTGTTTATGTGTCTTGTCCTCAGCTGGTGACTCTGCTT